GTGCTTTCCTAGATGTTTTGAAATGGATTTGAAAAAGTGTGCAGCCCAGTTTACCTTAGTTTTGGTAATGAGAGAGTTGATGATGAAGGCTCTCTCCTGGGTGATGTCATCGGCATGACCTCCACTTCCACACTCGAGGCAAGCGATGACCAGTTCCAAAACCAACTTGTAATCGTTGTTTAGATCTGCTTTCTTCGCTAGGCCAGCAGGAGCTTGCCCAGAGATTCCAATGATGTTCCAGTCCAGATTTTTGACTGGAAATTTCCCAACTTCAACTTCAGAATTGGGAAGGCGAAGCTTTTCTCCCAATTTCTTTTGCGAAAGCTTCACTTTTGTACCTCCAACAGTGGACTTGATGACTGGAAACGTCCTCTGTGGGTTCTTCTTTGAATGAGCAGTTTTGACCTCTCCATTTCTGTAGAATTCAAGAACTTCTTCCTCGAATTTGAGGCAAATCTCCATTTGAAGAAGTTCGGAGAGTTCTTGAGCGGCTATCATTTTCAGATAGCTTTGAAAGAATGTCGGTGATGAGCACTTGGCTTCTAACTTCTGGAAGTGTACATTTGCACCGACAACCTTCATTTTCTCAGAAATGTGAGTGAGAATTTGAGAGAGAAAGGTCTAGGGTTCTTGCGAGTTCTTTGAGAGTTTTTCGCGAAGAAGACGACGAAAAATTTTGAGTGGCCTGAGTGGGCAGTTGGGGTCAGATTATAGTGACGATTGGGTTTAATGTGGGTGATTTATACGGCTAGTGGCGATTGGGTTTTTAACTGTTCCCAAGGCCACGTCTCCACCCATCATTTTGACAGATGTGGAAAATGAACTGCCACGTGTACCACACTCAGTCTAATTGAATTAGACCAATTTTGTGAAGCAAATCGAAAAACTTGGCTTTAATTAGTAGTTTGGTGAAGATATCCGCCAGTTGTTCTTTAGTTGAGATATACTCAATTTTGATATCTTTCTTTTCCACATGCTCTCTGATGAAGTGATGCTTGACATCAATGTGCTTAGTGCGAGAATGATGCACTGGATTTTGTGAGATGGCTATAGCACTTTGATTGTCACAGAAGATTGTCACTTCCTTTGTCTTGACTCCATAGTCCAGTAGTTGTTGCTTCAGCCACAGAATTTGAGCACAACAACTACTAGCAGCAATGTACTCTGCTTCTGCTGTTGATGTAGAAATGGAGTTTTGTTTCTTACTGAACCAAGAAACAAGATTTCCACCAATGAATTGACAAGTACCAGATGTACTTTTCCGGTCAACTTTGCATCCGGCAAAGTCAGAATCTGAGTATCCCACTAACTCAAATGAATTGCTCTTAGCATACCACAAACCCATGTTCTGAGTTCCTTTGAGGTATCTAAGAATTCTTTTAGCTGCTATCAGATGACTTTCCTTTGGCTTTGACTGGAATCTGGCACAAACACCTACTGCATATGAGATATCCGGACGGCTTGCAGTAAGGTAGAGTAGAGATCCAACAATTCCTCTGTAGAGAGTTTGATCTACATCCTTTCCATCTACATCCATATCAAGCTTGGTGGATGTACTCATGGGGACAGA